CACATGGAAACTAGGACAGATAAACTCCTCAGGGTCAATAATGAGAACAGCAATACTATGAGGCTAGGGGGAAGGGGGGCGGGGGCAGGAAAGGGGTAGAAAAGGGGAACTGATCACAATGATCGATGTACAACCACCACCACTTCCCACCCAAAAGAGGACAAACAACAGAAACATGGATGAAGGGAGACAGTGGATGGTGTAAGATATGAAAATAATAATTTATAATTTATTAAGGGGTCATGAGGGTGGGAGGGTGGGAGGGTGGTGGGGTGAGGGGAAAAAGAGGAGCTGATACCAAGGGCTCAAATAGAAAGAAAATGTTTTGAAAATGACAATGGCATCAAAATGTTTTGTTACAATTGATGTATGGATTGTTATAAGAGCTGCAAGAGCCCCCAATAAAATGATTTTTAAAAGATGGATGCTATAGCAAAGTGTAGCATCAGATGGGGCCTAGTTATCAAGAAGAATAGCCTCTGGGGTTTTAAACAAACACTTGGTATGTTTTTGATATTGTGTGACATTTTGTGCAAAAGCTGAACAATACGTAAGGAAGCCAAATAAGAACTGCTGCATTTGAGCTGAGCTATTAGAGAAGAAATCTGAATGGACCGGGGACTGTCACAGCGGTTCTCAACCTTGTGCTGCGACCCTTTCATACAGTTCCTCATGGTGTAGTGACCCCCACCATAACATTATTTTCATTGCTACTTCATAACTGCAATTTGCTACTGTTATGAATTGAGCAACCCCTGTGAAAGGGTCATTTGACCCCAAAAGGGATCACAACCCACCAGTTGAGAACTGCTAGACTATCAGAACAAACAAATCTGTCTTGGAAGAACAAGCACAACCACAATGTTCCTTAGAGGTGAGGACGAAGAGACATCATCTCATGTATTTTGGACGTGCTATCCGGAGGGAACAATCCCCAGAGAAGAACATCACACTTGACAAAGTCAGAAAAAGAGGAAGGGAGATGGATGTGATTAGGGGTGAGCCGGGACAAACGAGAACCGGCTAGGAGAACTGGAACCCAAAAGCCACTCAGGTCTGTCATTCACAAACTCTAAGCTCCAAAACCTTGGCGCGGGAGTAAGAAAAACTCAAGGAGAAAGTCTAGCAGAAACTTGAAGAGCCACAGAACCTGATCTTGGTCCACTACTGAGATAACCCCCCCCCCAAAAGTTATATATATTATTGAATTTTATATATATAGTTATATATAATGACTGCTGTTTCCAAATATCCTGGGCCATGGTAACCTAAAACTATGCCAGAAAGGGAATTCTTGGAAATATTGTAACTTACTTGATCAACAGCCCACAGTTAAAACTATATAGCATAATTCAGAAAAGTCTGATTTGATTCAATTCACATTTTCTCACTTACTAACTGGAGCTAAACATTGTCTTTCTACCAGTTTACAATGCTTCTTGGTTTCCACAATGAAAATATAAAATAACTAGATAGATTTTTCCCTAAATGTAACACATGATTTACACCTGAGGACATGTTAAATATAA